CTCAATCCCCACGATTTACCCCAGCCCAAGAAAGTGCTGCCCCCAAGAATACGCAGCTCCATGTGGCTGGAAGCTCACACATCTGTGGGACAGGCACAGCGAACTTCAGAGACAAGCACGTGCCCCTGAAGCCAGCGGAGGGGATTTTTTGTGGTATTCACAGAGTGTTTCATGTGTCAATACGAGAGAAGAACGTAATTACCAGCTGAGAAACTGCAGGAAACAAGCCAAGGTTGAATGAACGAAATGGAAAATAAAGGGAAGCACGGAGGACACACACATTTTAAAACTATTACGGAGGTATGCATTCACGTGCTCGTGGGAGCCTGGGAATATATAAGAGCTCATGACTGCGAAGGAATGAATTCAAGGACCAGTCTATGGGGAGCATTTTTTTTCCCTGTGACTTCAAACTTCTCTCGGAGCTCGCAGAGTTTTAGTCAGCTGGCATGCAACAGAGGTACGACTTCCCCAAGGAAACTCTTCCTCGGCTCGCGCTGGAAAGGCTGCTGGGAGAGTCCGGGAGGCAGAAGGCTGCAAGCAGAGGCGAAACCTCCTCCTCCTCCTCCTCCTCCTCCTCTTCCAGCCACAGAGCAGGTACGTGGAGACGCGTGTGAAACCGGGAGCCTGCTGGAAAGTTGAGCTTTGGACTGCGGGAGAGATGGGGGCTCTGGTGACTTAGAGCTGCAGCCTTTAAAAATAACCCAGATGAGGAAGGTACTGTATAAATAACATATACAGTGTTTATGAGTAGGCTGAGGAACTGACTAAACACACTGTGTTGATGCCTCTATCCACACAGCTGTATATTTAATCTATCAGGGACTCACACTGCAGCGAGTTAGATCCTTTACGTTAAGGAGGCACGGGTTAGTTTATAACAATACAGTGGTCATGTGCCTGCTTTGTTATTATTCTCTGTGTTTATAGTAATAGAAGATGGGGAGATGGGTAGGGGGTTTTTTTCCTTTCTTCACAGGACTTAGGTCTATTTATGGTATTACTGCATTATAGCACTCTGAACCACGAGTGCTGCAGAGATCAGCATTGTGCACTGACTGGATGCTGCTCACTCAGTTCTCCGACACTGAATCCTAATATAGCCTTGGGCAAATCACACAGTCCACGGGTAAAATGGACAAAATACTGTGTAGCTCCTCTCTTCTTCTTCCTGTCAGTGCTGTCATTGAACTCTCCCTACTGGAGCACGAGGTGTGAGATGGCAGGGTTATTTTCCTACTCTTAAGAGCCTGACAGCTTGAATGTCACCTTGGGTGAACAATGACTTACTGATAGTGGTTTGCTGCATCTGGGCTGTTACTATGAGGAATTAATGCTTAGGTGATACTTGCAAATAACAAAGTTTTAGGAAATCATAGTTTATATAAAAAGACACAGACAATTTTCTAAAGCCAAACCCTGTTGTATTTTTGATAAAAGTACAGATATGTTTGCCTTAAATAGAATCAAAGTTTGGCTTTCCACAACAGAGGAAATTTGCTTTTTTACTAAGACACAATCCTTTCAACTTTAAAATCATCTTATTACTCTGAAATGCTGAAAGCCATTAGTGTTCAGTAACAAAAATTCACAGTCAGTTGTCCCTTTTAAAAGCAGATGCTTACAGCTTAGTGACTGTATCAGTGCTTGGCCTTTTACTGATACAATGATGGATGGATGGATGGATGGATGGATGGTTGGATGGATGGATGGATGGATGGATTCAAGGGGGTTATCAGTATCATGCAAGTCAGATCTATCAGAAATCCTTTTCCTCACTCATTTTATCTCCTATTGGATCATATAAATTGAGTACACCTTTTCTCAATCACTTGACTCCACTGTCAATAAAAGAAATATTACTGAATGAAAAGCTTTTTTTTCTCTCTTTTTGCTGCACTTAGATTAAAGTTGGTGAGAAAAGATTCTGGTTTGGTTCCTGGTTTTGAGTTTCTCCAGGAATTTTGTTTTCTAGGGAGAATATTTCATGTTCAGACAGTTTAATCTGCAAATGCCAGTACATGTCACTTTTTGTTGATGGAAGTGTTTTCATTTCCCCATCTGCTGCTGTCCCTTTGCCCAGTCCTCGCTCACAAAGTCACCAGGCTGGTGGCATTCATACAGTTCTCATTCATTTACATTTTCTCTCCTGGAGAGAGGAGTAGAACAAAAGGTGAATGAAGTCAGGGAACTGCCTAACCCGGTGTGTTCAATAATGTTAATATTTAGTGAGGGAAATGTTGAGCACCTGATAGAGGTACACATCGAGAGAGGATGGAGAGAGAAGGAAGGAAGGCAGAAGCTTCAAAAACCAGGAGAAAAGTCATGCTGGTATTACAGGAGATGTAGGAGTCCTTATTTTGATGTATGGGCTTGACACCAGAGATGCAGGAGGTCACATCTGCCCATGAGACCAAACACAGTGCAGATGACATGAGCAACACAAACCAGAAGCAGCTCCTGGTGATACTAAGGGTCTCAGGAGCTGGAGCTGCACCTCCTTCTCAAAGGCTGTGGCTGAGGATGGCATGGGCTATTTACTGTTTAATATGAATTCTGTCTCCAGGTCCCTGGTGGGATGAATCACCAGGGAGCTATTCCAGTTGTCCCACTCCTGCCCTTGCAGTTCAGACCCACTTTCTAAGGCAGGAGCTTGTCTTGTTTACTTCTCTGGAGAGTTTGATTCATACTGCTCAACACAGGACTCAACCCAAAAGCAGTGCCTTAGAAAGCAGCAGTGTTAGGGATGGACAGACTCCAAAAGGTCTGGAGGTTCAAGACACATGATCGTCAAGACATGCTCTTGTTTATCCAAAACCCTTGGGAACCTGCAGCCGATTACAGACTGGCTCATGAGAGCCAGAGGCTGGGATTTGCTGTTGCTCTTTGCTCTTGGCCATTCAGGGAACAGGGTTTGGAGGAGAACAGAGGTCTGATGAGGTACCCCTGGCTTTGGGTGGTGTGGGGTGGAATCCAGAAACCAAACAGGCAGTAATTGCTCAAGAGACCACAGGAAAATCAGGAAGGGCCTGATTTCACAGAGCTGCAGGCACAAACTCTTTGGCATCAATGGGGTGGGACAGCCCTTGCTATTCTGTGCAGGTGGGCAAAAGACCTTGGTTCTCCAGTCTGCCCAATGGAGGTGACCCAATCTTGTCTGATAGAGGTGACCCAAGCACAGACACTTATGCTGATGTTTCAACAGCACTTTAAGGTGTAAACTGCTGGGTAGCCCAAATCATGAAAACGGGAAGTCAGCCAAATGCTTCAGGGTCTTTGGAACTATTTGCTGGCAGATCCCCTTTAGGAAAGGGCAAAGATGATACGGACAGTGCTGATCTTTCCCAGTGTCCTCTAAGGCTATGGCTTTAATGAAGAAAAGTCCTGAGCAGCAGAATCAGTGCATGCCCTTCCCTTCTGCTTTGGCATTTGTTTCTGTCCAGGCTCTTCTTCACAGTTCAACTGGCACAGCTGCTTGGCCACTCAGTGGAACAGCTTGAGGAACAGAGCTGGCTTTAAAAAGCACAACTAACAAAAACCCTGCTATTTTTACCCAAAGTCCTCTGAACATCCAGGTGTAGAAATATGTGAAACTGCCATCATGCAGAGCACTCGCCACTCTTCATTACAGGCATGATATTTGTATTCCATCTCCAAATCAAATCAAAATATCCTTTCATATATATATATATATGTATTTTTGTTTTCTTGAAGACCTCAAATATTTGAGGTTTTCCTTGCAAAAGTGTCTGTGTGTTGCAAGTGCTATTGCACACTGCTGACGAGGTGAACTGTAAACCCAGAGCATCCAAAAGGCATGTAAACCTCTGGACACCAGCACCAGTCCCCAGCTTCAATGTGAGCTTCCTGCTTATCCCAAGGTAACCCAAAGGGTTGCAGATGGAGGGCTTGACTCTAGGGAGCATGCCAAAGGGATGAAGGGGAAAACCAGCTCAAGACGTGATGTACTTGGGGGAAGGTGATCAAAACTAGTCTGATGAGAGCCCAGCCAAGGGGAATGTGTCCAGACTTGCATTAATCTCACTGGCAGACTGTTCTTCTGAGAGTTAAACATGGATTTTTCTATCCATTGCACCTAATCACGCCTGCACACATACCACCACTTCTTCATAGCATTTATGCCTCTCATTTCAGGGTGTAAGGCAAAGTAGAAGGGATGCTGAGGGCTCAGCTCTTTGGCTTACTATTTCAACCTTGGGAAAAGTGCATTGCAGCAGTTCAGGCTTGTGAGTCTCGGAGAAAGCAATGGGGAAATCCATGTAAAGGTGGGTTTTCCGGAAGCGGGATTAATTAGGAAAAGGAAGTGGGGAAACCAGCAATTAGACAGCTGCTCCAGCCCTAGAGGGCAGCACAAAATAATAAATAAAAAGCTGAACTCCCAGGCAATCCGGAATCACCTTCTGCATGGCAAAAGCACCCCTTTCACAATGGGAATTTTTCCTTGTAGGTCTGGTAGATTCAGCACTACGTACTCGCTGCCAAAAATTCAGCAACTCGTGATTTTCAGACCCTTCTGCTTTTACCAAGGTCCCTAATTCCTCGCTTGTGCCATGAAAACCCACCAATTCAGGTGCATTGTAGCTGGCACTACATTGTCCTGCCCGCAGGCTGCTATCACAGTCTGATAAGTGGGATCACTGCAAACAGAATGAGTTATTTTCTCCAGGACAGGTTTTCAGATTTCTGGCCTTTGTATTTATCATCCCTGAATCTTAAACTTTCAATCCTCCAGTGCTGTTTTCCTAAAGATGCAGAGAGGGATTTAGGTACAGGGTGAGGAGGCTGCAACCCTCCCGGAATGCAACTCGCAGACACAAACCCCTAAAGTAAACACCCTGCCTTGCACCACGCATGCAGCTAAACAATGGCATCGGCAATGATAAGTCACTTATTCCCCGTGGCCCCATCCTGACAAGTTTCCCTGGCAGAAAAACCCCTGTTTCTCAACGCCTGCCCCAAGCACAGGGCTTCAGGATGTCACACAGTAGCTGACTCCATCCGGAGCACAGCGGTGGCTAGGACCCAGCAAGAGCCTGGAGAGGAGTGCGGAGGAAGACAAGCAACATAATTTAAAGCAGACACCGTCCCAAATAAGGTTATTTCCCTGAAATTGCCTTCGTTCTGAAGTTAAAAGGGAGCCTTTTGGCATCCTGAATGGGTGAACATGAAGCTGACCCACAACTTCATCGGTACCAGGACTGAACCGGTTTTGAAGAGCTGGATATGCGTTTTAAAGACATGATAAGCAGTGTTTGGGGAAGCGGGGAACCCTTGAAACAAGGTAAACATGAAATACTCACTCTTTTTAACCCTGAAGGCTCCAACTCAGCAGCAAAGAGTCTAGTGTGAAAAAGGATCAGACCCTGGGGAGTTTGGTTTGTGTTTGGTGTATTCTCGTGTATTTAACCTCTTTTTGGCACAGGACAATGTCTCTGTTAATTGTCTAAACAGTAATAAAAATTACCTTTGGGGGAAATTTAGAAAGTGCTGCTGATGTTAGCTACGAGCAACATCTATGAAGTGGTTTCAGGGTTAATATTATAATAGAGATGGAAGCAAATATTGTTCTGGAGTGGGAACTAGGAAAACTGGGATTCAACCCTGATTATTCCATTGTTTCCAATGTATCTTCAGGGCAAATCACTGATCTTCTCTGCTTTGCCCTCATATCTGTTAAGTGGATACGCTGATGTGGTTTGGGTACTATTCTTTTTCTAGATGCTAAATTATTTGACCCATTTAATAAGGCTCCTCAGGGGTGTTATTCACTGAAATCACCTATATTTTTCAGCTGAGGATGGGGATGGGGATGGGTGATTTTAAAGTACTGGGATGGAAAGCTGTGACATTGAATGGGGTTCAGAGCTCAATCCTGCTCTGAGGTATGCTGGGATTTTTATCACAGCTGCCAGTGGGAGCAAACTGGCACCAAGCACGAAGCTGGGAAAGCCTCAGAGCAATAAAAGCTCTTTTAGGGTGAGTTGCTGCTACTGCTGCTCCTGGATTGTTTTTGTAAGCTGTGGTTAGAGACATCGGTGCCAGCGCCAGCAGGCAGGGGTTAGTGGTGATGCTCTCTGACACCAGCACAATGGGGGTCCTGTGAGCCCTGAGCTCTGCACTGGGAGGGGTGAGACGGGACAGAGAGGAGGGGAATGTGCTGCTGTGTTGTGATAGGTGTTGCTGGGAGGGGGGGGGTGAAGGCTGTACAGAGAAAAGCTAGGCAGGAAAAGCTCCTCAGCTGGACAGCTGAACTAGAAAACACCTTGGGAAGGGAATCTCCATTCGCTGTATGATGAGGAACAGCTTTACCCTCCTCTGGATGGGGTCCATGTGGTCTCATGTTGGATGAGACCACCACATCCTAGTGCTTCAGGGTGTGAGACCCACCTTAGAAGCACCCTGAGGCACAGCATCCTTGCTTACTACAGATCTGTTTTACACAGCAAGCCATTAAATCACATTTGTGTGTTTAAATACATCCATTTCCCAATATATTTATAAACTTACTGTTTAGGAAATTTCAAAGCATGTCAAGACCCTGCATTGTGTCAAGTTTATTATTTAAGGAGCAAAAGGACCATTTTTTGCACTGGCAGTGTGGCAAGAGAAGACATCACAGAGCACATAGGACACATGTTGTCCATGAGAGTGGTGCCCTGTTGTGTGTAATATCCATGGAGATTTCCTTAACTTAATTAACTGGATCTAAAGAGAAACAATTTCCATTTGAGAGCTCTGAATAAAGCCAAGTAATCATTGTTATGTCTGGGTTTTATCTCAGTTCCAGAAAACTAATATCCAAATGAAAACACTCATTTTCTCCTCAGAGGAGGCACCACTCCTCTATCCCTGGGGAATGAGGAACAGAGGGGGGACAACAGAGACATTATAGGTGTTGGTATCAGCAATTCCTCCTTCTATTGGATGACTTCAGTGTATTGTACAAACTTTAATTAAAAGTGTCAAGAATGAACACTCTTGGTCTCTTTTAGAGGAGGAGAATGAAACATGACTTCTCATCCTGCTGCTGAGCTCCAAAGACAAACTCCAAGCTCTTTCATTTGGGGTCCCAGATCACCATTCGTTACTAGTTGTTTCATTGAAATGGAAGGAATATAAGACCTCAGAGGAGACCTTAGAGCAGCTCCAGGGCCTAAAGGGGCTCCAGGAAACCTGGAGAGGGGCTTTGGACAAGGGATGGAGGGACAGGACAAGGGGAACGGCTTGAACCTGCCAGAGGGGAGACTGAGATGGGCTCTGAGGCAGAAGCTCTTCCCTGGGAGGGTGCTGAGGCGCTGGCACAGGGTGCCCAGAGAAGCTGTGGCTGCCCCATCCCTGGCAGTGTTCAAGGCCAGGTTGGACACAGGGGCTTGGAGCAACCTGCTCTAGTGGAAGGTGTCCCGGCCCGGGGCAGGGGTTGGAACTGGAAGAGCTTTAAGGTTCCTTCAACACAAACCAGCCTGGGATTCTATAATCCTATGAACGTGCAATCTGAAAATAGAGTAGCTGAGGTCTAAGCCTCCCCAGTTTCTCTCTTCCTAGTACACAACCCTTTTCTCTGGTTGGGAAGTGGAGGAACCAGGCAGGTTTCTGTAGTGAACCTGTTGGCACTACTGTCCAGCAATCGCAGTTACCGCGTGGAAGCGTGGCCATCAGCTGCATCCCTCAGACAGTGACTAAGCGGAGGGATCTCCACCAGCTGGGAATGATCCCATCTCTTTTGTTTCCAGCCTCCTGATGCTCTGTGGGTGGTAGCTGCTGAGTAACGGTACGTTGATGCCGGTTCTTGGCGGCACATGTACATGGGATTGGCGTGCTTTTGGAGCTTGCAGATGCAGGCTTGCTCCTGGAAAGACTTGAGAGCAGTGCTAGCTATGTACTGCCACATGGCTTCCAGTTGGGAGCTGGCATGTGCCTCGCTAGATATGGATGAGGGCAGGACCAGCTCAGATCTGCCTCAAGAAGCCGTACAAACACAGACAGATTTGGCATGTTTGCAACAGAGGCTGTCATGAAGAAGTGATATCTGGAGCTCACATCAGTGGTGACCACAGCCAGACACTTCATTAGTGTCCATCTAGAAGCAAGGCATTTTAAGGACATTTACATTTTTCTCCCATAGCCTGGTGACAGTCTTCCCAGTATTTTTGCTCCTTTTGCAGTTTTTCCTATGCTCTTTTCTGGATTGTTTTCCAGTTAAACTCTGATGAATCCTTCACTTCGCACAAATCCATTCCATTTTATATCTGACTCCTTGTAAGGCATCTGCTTTCAAATGTATTTAAAAGCCTGCCCACACCTGGGATGTATAGAATGGAAAACTAACATTTGGACAAAAAGTTCTCAGTCCATTCTTTAAGCTGTTTATATTAGCTCAACAAATCTGGATGATAGTGTAAAATCTTTTTGACACTCCAGGATGAGAGGAGTGGAAAATGTGGACGGAAATGTAAACTGTTCCTAGTGTGTGTTGTTTCCAAGTGTCACTCGTTTGCTCAGGACTTGGCACCCCGAATCTCCAGCCCAGTTCAAAGTACCTGAGCTGCCTCTATGGGGAGAGTGAAGGTAACTGGGTTTGCAGTGGTTCTCCATGATGCCAGATGCACTGCCCAGCTTGAGCATCTGGACTTCATTGGGTGTCCTGGTATCATCGAGGTAGCAGCTCAAATCACAATGGGGCAATGCCATGAAATGCCTTGGACCTTCCTCATGTAAATCTCTCTTTTTCCTACAAGGCTCAAAGGGGTGCAGATAGGTTGTAAGTGCTGTAGGCTTAGAGATGGGTTAATTTCTTGCACTGTGTGCTTCTCCATGTTAGATGATGATCTGCTGCCAGCTTGCACTGTGTCGCATTAGAAATCTAACCAGAATTACTTTTACCTGCAGAACCATGAAACTGTACATCATCTTCTTCCTGGCAGTGGTGAACAGAGGAACCTCTAACAATCAGTCCACAGAGGGGATGATGCCCTGTGAAATGGTAAGGCTGTCTCTGTACTCAGGCCCTGTAGGATCCTGGATGAGGTTGAGACCCTCGTGTTACAGGCACTGCACAAATAGCTATGGTCTCTGAGAAGGGAACCCCCTTCCAGGGACCAGGGTCTCTGTGATAGAGGTGGGCTTTGCTGCAGTAGTGGATGCTCAGCAGGCTGTTCTTGGGCCATGTCCTTGTTGTGGCAACACGTAAAAGGAGTGGGGACAAGAAGGGACATTATCTTCTTTATTTTTCTAAGGGAGAGCTGGTTGAAAGAAGTTTGACCTGATTTCCCCAAGATTGTACAAGGACTCTGTGGCTGAGACAAAGAAAATCAACTAGACACAAAACGAACTCCTTTATATTGGGCCTAAGTACTTTGTGCTTTAAATAAAGCATCTTCTGTGAAGTACATCTATATTAGCCCTTTTGTAATAACAGGAGACTGACCTCCTCTACCCTGACGCAGCATTGCTGCTAGGGGACTTGTACCTGACTTCTGCTGGAGGTAAAAGCAGTGACAAAGCCTTTTCCTCCTTGATGTTTTGCAAGCACCTGGTATATTATAAATGTTATTCACAGCTGAACTTTCTCCCTTCCCCATCCAAGTGCTTCTGACTGTAACAGGCCATTTAAAAATACTTATCTTCTTATTTTTTTTCCTGAATGTTGAAGCTGTTCAGCACAAATCCTCAACAATTTCCAAAATAGGAAAAAAAAATAATTTGCTAGCTGTACACATCGCCCTTATGGGACTCATTCCATTCCTGCCCACCCTGCCATACTGCTGCACTTCCTGAATTCCAGAGAAATTAAGACCTAGTATATATAAAAAGATCTTGGGAAGGTGGGTAGCTCAATTCATTGCCTGCGGAGGGAAGACTGATGAAGCGACTGTAAACATGACAGCTTGGGTCTCGTGTATCATAGTTACATGGCACAATAATCCAAGCAAATCTATCCCATCCCATTCCTTGATGGGTCACAGATCAGGCTGATTGCTGAGAAGTAAACACATGCTTGTTTCCACCACTGCACTCTAAATTGCTTTTATCAAGCACACAACCCAAGACTCTACGCAACTATGCTGGGACAAATTCAGCCTCAAGAGCAAACATGCTGCAGTCAAGGCTTGGGATGCTCATCTGGTATAAATTAACAGCTCAGCATCACTGATGTCGATGTTGATCATCTTCCTTTGCTGGTTGTTTGGTCCAATGTAAAGCCAAACACAGTTTAAAGAAAGATGGAGCTACTGGATAGGCTGATGGGTTCACTGAGAGTCCTGCTTACTTCTCAGCATCACTTTCATCACAACCTTGCTGTTTTACATGGTACTTTCCCTGTGGCGACACCTTTAGAATAACAAAGGCTTAGAAATGGAAACTTTCATCCTAGATCTCATGGAAGAGGCATGAATCAGAAACCCGTGCTCCTCTCTGACTCACTGCTGGTGCTCCTGTCATTGAACCAAGGTCTTCTAGAAGACATTTTTGGAAATAAACAGTCCCTACCAGCCCCCTGCACTGATTATACAAGTTTCTGCATAATCTTCCTCTTTGCAAGACAACAAGGCACAGCTTCAATGTCAGGATGTTCTTTCTAACTCATGTTGCCTTCCAAGGAGAGGGGCTTCAATTAGTAAAAGTTTTACCTCCTAAAGATAGATGTTTCTTCTACATCATGTTAACTGGCAAAGGAGGAGATTTCAAATAACTTACAGAAGGGATGGGGTTTCAGCAAATTATGTCATTGAGGTGATGCAAGAACATATGTATAACCAGTTATCAGAGGTCAGATAATACGTGGTATTATCTGGGCAAACTGCTAAGGTTTGGTTGTGTAGCTGGGCAGCTCTTCTAGACAATAGGCATGGACACTGTGCAAATGTAAGTCAGTGTCATGTGGCTCCAACCCAAATTCTTTGGTTCAAATGCTCATGAATTGGTACAGGAGAACACAAGTGAAGGCTTGGATCCAGCTGCTTTGTTTCTGGAGCTCTTGCTAAGGTGGGTGACAACTTCCATCCACTGCTGACCAGCGAAGAACTGGAGTCAGAATCCCAATGATGCTCAACTTATGTTGGGTCACTTTTTGTCAGCAACTGAATGAAATCAGACACCAAAGGGACCAAGTGCTCCCACCCTGCAGTACTTCTTGCCAACAGACTTCAAATAAAACAGTGGCAACACTGTCAGAGATGATGAAGTCAGAATGTGAGACCAGAAAAATCTCTATTCCAGCCTCAGGCTGCCAACCCATTGAGCTATGGGGTGGGAGGAGAGGAGATACACGCAAACAGATGCTGTTTTCTCCATCCCACTGAGAAATGCTTCATCTTTTCTTCCTAGTGCTAATGAGAACAAAATTCATGCAATTTGATCCTCGGGGGAGAAAAAGATGGTGCAGAACAGACTAGATAAGAAATTCAGTGAGGATGAAAATAGTCACTGAAAAGGAATGAAAGTTACAGTATGGGAGGGAAAATGTTATAGGAACAAATGGCAGACTGTGGGAGGTATAGATTTTATCACTCCCTTTTATCACTGGGAGGGTTCAGTGGATGCAGATTAAAAGCCTAATCCTGCAAGATACATAGTGAACTGAGACTGACCTCTCCCACATTGACTTCAATGAAAACCAGCCACTGGCCCTGATGGGAGTTGGCTCAGGACTTCGCTAAGATGCTGGGTGCCCAGAGGGAGCAGAGGGTGCTCAGTGCTTGTTGAGATCTGGCTCAAAAGAGTGGGAAGAAACCTGACATCTCCCTTAGGCTGCAAAGCAGCTGCTGCTTCTTCACTCTGGATTTTTGTATCCTTCTGGCTTCTCCCTCTTCCATAAACCAAACAAGAAGAGACTTCCTGCTCTGTTATTTAGGCCTCGGAACTCAGCCCAAGTCTGAACATTTTAGCTCAAAATTAGTAGTTCTACAGTGACTTTGAAAGAAAGGGATAATGTCAGGGAGAAGCCAGAAAATCCCCTTCACTTTTGTTCTGATTTGTTTAGCTGGGGGAGATTTGAGTGAGTTGGAGGGGAAAAATAGGAAGGGGTTCAGGCTTTAACAGGCCATTTACTTGGGATCTTTGGGGAAAAATGTGTCGTGGGAAGGACTGCGAAGCAGCCTGTGTATATCTAGAGCTTGGATGAGCACTTACACTTCTCTGGCACATTTTTGCGCGGTCTCCAAAGCTCACATGATGCAAAAGGGATTCACAAAATGCTGACTATTGCCTCACTTCTAAACAGACCTGCCGCTTCATTCACCTAAAAGTTCACATGGAGCAAATGGTTTTCAGCATTTTTTACTTTTAATGTTTCTTTAATGTCTGAAAAACTGTGCGTCATGGAATCTGGATTCTGCTGCTCCACACAAGTTCATATTCAACAGATTTTTTACTTTCTTTTCCTTCTGATCTTTCTACAAACAGCACATGACCCAGTCACCCAAATACATTCATAACGAGAGTTTTCCTCCAATAAATTAAACGTTGCCTAAGCCTTTCACATTCCAGTTCCTCCCGCTGCTGTATGTTCTCCTTGATAACAAAACACGGCTTGACATTTATACAAGGATGGTCATGCTCATGTTTGCTTATCAGCACACACTCCAGGTTTTGCTCTAGATACAGATTCAGCCCTAGCTGCAATTAAGCAGGCATGCAGCCAGAAGATGAATTTGACACTTCTCGCTACACTGCTACTGAGAATTGGACTGAAAAGGCATGACCTTCGCTGCACATCACAGCTTTTTTCTCTCAAAAGCTGACTTTATGTAATTTGTCTTTTCCATGTTGTATCGTGTCTTGTATGGGTGCATGCTCTTCGTACAAGGAGAAGAGAATTGTTGCCTTAGGAAAAGGATAAACACGGATGGTAAAAGCAGGAAAAGTTTGGAGATTCGCATCAGAAATGTTTCAGTTGTTGGATGACCCATGTGGTTCAAGACATATCGCTTAACTAAGCCATGGCTAAAGGAATCATAGAATGAATCACAGAATGATTGGGGTTGGAAGGGAACTTATAGCTCCTCCAGTCCCAACCCCTGCCATGCGCAGGGACACCTTCCACTAGAGCAGGTTGCTCCAAGCCCCTGTGTCCAACCTGGCCTTGAACACTGCCAGGGATGGGGCAGCCACAGCTTTTCTGGGCAATCCGTGCCAGGAAGACATGATCAAATATCTGAGGATGTGACTTAGAAGGAGAGAGACAGTAGTTGTGCTGTAGCGTCCTTATACATTTCGCCACCTCCTTGCTTTGGGACCTATTCTGCCAACAGAGTGAAGCTCTTCTAAGTACTACTTACTATTGCAAGTAGAGTTTGTAAAATGCAGTACAGTGATAAAAGAGAGAAAATAAAACATCAGAACAAAAGTGAGGAAATTGTACTTGATTGCAATGGAAAAAGGCAAAACTCCTTCATGTGGGTCTACTAAAATGCACCTGGGAGAAAGGTACAAAAAGGAGAACATTTAGTAGATGTCACATGCAGATAGAGACTGTTGTAAGTCAGAAATGTCTTTAAAATGAATTGAGTGCAAAGAAGCATTAGGATTGTTGTTCTTGCTGTCTGAATGCTCAGGGAAAGTAATGCTATCAGTGTTTTAGAAGTAGGATCTGCCTCAATGCTGAATGTTATTTTCTTTACATTTCATGCAAAAATGTTCTTCATCTACCAGATGACAACCCCTTTTCTCTCTGTTCTTTTTCTGGCAGGCAAACTCACAGGCATTTTGCCACAACAAAGACCTCCACCAAATCCCTCGTGACCTCCATCCAAGTGTAAACAAAATAGATCTGTCTGGAAATCTGATTCAAAGCATCCCTGAAATGCCATTATCATTTTACACTTCCCTCCAGTGCCTGGATTTAAGCTCTAACCAGATCAGCTTCATCACACCTGGAGTCTTTGCACACATGACGAATTTGCTGGAAATAAACTTAGCCAACAATCACTTATATGAGCTTGCTCAGAATGGGACAGAAGGGATCGGACTATTACCCAAGGTGGAAATACTGGACTTGTCCCACAACAGTCTGTACAATGGGATGGCTGAGTATTTCATCAAACAAGCTCCAGCACTGCGATATCTCTCCTTGGCAGAAAACAGTATTATAAGGATATCACACAAGATGTTTCAGGGATCTCCCAGTCTTATGGAGATAGATCTTCAGAGTAATATCGTCATGGAAATAGAAGAAGGTGCTTTTGAGACTCTAGTGAACCTTTCCAAACTCAACCTCTCCATGAATTCAATCACTTGCATCTCTGATTTCAACCTCAGGCAGCTGGAGATACTTGACCTTAGCAGGAATAGCATTGAGACCTTCCACACCACAAAATCAGATGATGAATATAGCTTAAGATTTTTGGATTTGAGTGAAAACAAACTGCTTCACTTCCCAGTCTTCCCCCAGGTAAATAAGCTGGTAACTCTGAATTTATCAAAGAATTTAATCCAGCTCACTGCTGAATCCCCTCATAATAAAATGGACTATATGGAAAAAGAATGGATAGATGCTTCTTTTCATCTTCTTGATCAGAAGCAAAGTAGAAACAAAAGTTCTCTTTATTTATCCCACCTTGTATATTTAGACTTAAGTTATAATGAAATAAAATCCTTTCCAGATGAGTTCTTTGAATCAATGTTGTCCCTTCACACCCTGAATCTCAGTAAAAACTGTCTTCAGGCATTTGCAGTAACTTATGACAGTGCATTGACCTCCCTAACTGTCCTTGACTTGAGCTACAATGCTTTGCAGAACCTTCTCCTTGATGCTCACACACTGTCAAATTTGAAGGAGCTCTACATTCAAAACAACCATCTTCAGACCCTACAATTTGATATCTTCTCAAGCCTCCCTAGCCTCAGACTGCTTAGTCTACAGAGCAATAATATCAGCCTTTGCAGCATGTACTCAGGATTAGCTAAGCAAAGACTTGCTGGAGAGGAAAGTGGTTGTGTGTCATTTGTTGACTCTCCTAATCTTCAGTACTTATACCTAGCTGACAACATGCTGAACATCCTACCAGCATACACTTTCTATAAGACTTCTCTGGTCGTCTTGGATCTCTCCATGAACCCCGGGCTGAAAATAGAAGTTAAAGCATTATCAGGACTGGAAAAGTCTCTGGAATATTTGTATTTACATGGCAATAGCCTCATAGATTTAAATATTGACTTGCCTTGCTTTAGTCACCTTAAACATTTAAACCTCTCTGAAAATCAGCTGAACTGGCTGCCTAAGTGGGGTAGTGACTCTCCACTGGAAGTACTGGACCTACGGAACAATAGGTTTAGTACATTACAGAACAGCAATATTTTAGCATTAGAAAATTCACTTAAAAACTTGTATCTAACTGGGAACCCACTCAACTGCTGTGGAAACATCTGGCTTTCATCAATGATCCAGAACAAAAATGTCCAGATCCCAAATGTGGAGCACTTAACCTGCCACTACACTCAGAACTTTGGGTACCAGGAAGAAATGCACATTGGGAACATTAGACCAGAAAACTGTGAAAAAGAGGATCTGAAGAAAATCAACTTCCTTATCATATTAACATTTGTGTTGGTTTTATCTGTGATCATCATTGGCGTGGGTTCATTCTTCTGCTTCCGCAGGCAAAACTTCAGCCATCAGTTCAAAGCATAGGAACACAAAATGCCTTGAAAACCGAAGAAATCAGGTGCTACACTGCCGCTGTGTAGAAATGAAGGGTAAAATTCTCACCTTTGATTTTTAACTGTGGATCTTAAGATGGTTTCAAAGTGCCCCTCAACTGTGCCACTACAGTGCTGTGGGTTGAAGGGACTGGAAGGAGTATTTGCCATGTTTTGCACTTGCTTCATGCTTTAGCAGATCTGCTTTAAAAGAGTGTTCAGTGGTAGAAGAGGCCACTGTAAAAGTCCTGCTGTTGTTTTGAGGGATGTGTAATTTAAACCAGACCAAAAGAAAAGCCCTCTAAGGTCAGGTCTTGAGACTTTTCATTAAGCTCAGAGATGCTTTTTGAGGTCACCTTCAGAGAAAGACTTTATGGAAATTGAGCATTGTAACCAAATTACCTTGTTATGACAATCATTGATGTCAGCTGAGTAGGAAAGCCCTTCCCAAAGTTATTGAGATAAAGCTATTTTGAATGGGTCTGAGCTTTGCTTTGTCCTTCTCCTAGCTCCTAGTCCTTCCTAAACTGAAAGCAAAGAAACCTTTGCCAGGGTGGGCCAAAACAATTTTTCCCTGAAGTTGGTTGCAGATTTCCTATGAGTTCCAAAACAATGAGAATTTAGCTAAAAAAGGAAATAACAGCTTGTGTCTGTTGTGTTTATGGCTGCCGTTTAGAAAACACATGGCTGACCATGGGAACCAAAGACCTTGGTGGTAAGAATCTCTTCAGATACCTCCCTTTGCTTGTAGCATGTTGCTCCAGCCACTGGGGCAAGACGTAAGAGGCAGATGAGGTCAATTAGTCTTGGCACTTAATACCCACGAGGGATGTTAAGAGAAATCTCAGGCATGAAACAGCTGCTCTCTACATTATCCAGATCTGCTCAGAAGGTCACAGGTCCACAGTTCAACTCAAAGAGGAGAAATTTGCCCCTCGTGTGCAATACATATTTAACTGGGTTTAATGTGAAGAAATTCATCTCTGGGGTGAAGGCTTTTTAAAAGGAAAACCTTGGAGAATGAATTTCAATCAGCTACCATTGGACTGAAATGTTTATATTTCTAAGGAAAGCATTGGGAACTCACTGCATACAGTTGTATTTCAATGCAAAAGAATAACATATCTATTTTTAAAGGTCACAGGAGGTTAAACAGTAAAGAAGTGTGAAACAACACACAGGGAACCTATTCCTGGGCCATTATTCAGATCAAATGTCTACTGTCTTTCCCGAAAATGATATTATGGTCTGGAGGACTGGCTGCAAGAAAAGTTATGTAGACCCTCATTCTGTGATGATTTTAACATCGGCCAACCTGTTACATTGCTAAAAGCTGACACTGACATATATTATGTCCCTTACTTTGACAGCAAATTCACCCTTTTGAAGTGATAAATAAAGCTCACCAGCAGTGTGAGCCTGACCTATTAACAGGGTTCAGTGGCTTCGAAAGGAGCTATATCAGGTTTTCTGTTAATGCCAGGAACTCTACATTAAGGCACATAGGAGAAATAGAGGTCAAACCAAAACCTGTCCAGGTAAATAACTCAGAGTCCAATTGCTGCTCCATTTCTGTTTCTTCCAGCTAGTGAATGTCAAAATTAACACTACAAAAAGGTGTATAATTCTATTTTTAAAGCAGTTGTGTAAGAAACTGGCCTGCAGTTTTCACTGTGGAATTTTGTACAATAAAAACACCTTTGAATTTTGTAGAAAGCACAGAGTTGTGAATATATTAAAGCACCAGCTTGGAACGCTCCACAGATGAAAAGCTATGTCTTCCTATTTTTCTGTGGTGTTCAGACTCCACCTTGGACATTTAACATCTTGTCCTGAAGTAAGAACAGCTGCTCCATATCTTAATCATAGAAACATAGAACAGAATCATTGAATCCCAGGTGAAAGGACCTCAAGGATAATCTGGTCCAACCTCTCCAGGCAAAGCATGACCTAGACTAGATGGACCAGCACCCTGTCCAGATGAATCTTAGCGCTGTCCAATATTTGGAAATCCACCACTTCCCTGGGGATATTATTCCAGTGACTGATTGTTCTCAGTGTGACGAATTTCTCCTCTTGTGTCCAACTGGAATCTCCCCAGGAGTAACTTGTACTCATCACCCCTTGTCTTTTCCATACGACTCCTTGCAAAAAGGGAGTCTTCATCTTCTTTGCAGCTACCCTTTAAATACTGGAACATGGAGATAAGTCTCCCTTAGAGAACATATCTCCAAGTCTCTCTCTTTGAATACAACCAACAGAGAACAGGGAGATTTACTGAAGATGTAAGGAAGCATTTGCAGAAACAATCAGCAGCAATAGGGCCCAATCTAATATCTACAAAAACCCTGCGTTACCTGTTGTCTTGAGCTCTTATTCTTGTAGGAGAAAGTCTGCACAAGCAGCAATCCCATGGATTAGTTGGAAGCCTGATGCTGAAGCTGGTGAGCTTTTCCTTTAGTGTGGAAGCAAGCTGAGCTGTGTGCCCAGACATGGGCTAATTTAGCCACACACTGAGTTCACTTTTGTGTCAAGCATGGCAAGATTATATCTTCTTCTGAGTATTAGCTTGGCTGCCATGACTGGAATTAGTTAATAAACTGATGACAGAGCCAAACCCATTTAATTAACAGTTTTAACACTGCTTTTGTTTGGCTCTGCCAAAAGGAAGTGCTTGTTATTACTGAACATCTGGGACTAATTAGACTTCCATTGACTTCCCTGGGAGCAGAAACAGCTTTCTCGAGGAATAAACCTCAGGAGTAAAGTACAGCATGGCTCATTCAGATTTGTTAGTAGCATAACAGGGGATGGGATCCAAAGGGACCTGGACACGCTTGTGAGGTGGGCAGATGCCAACCTTATGAAGTTTAACCAAGCCAAGTGCAAGGTCCTACACCTGGGTCGGCACAACCCCAGGCACAGCTACAGGCTGGGCGGAGAAGAGATTCAGAGCAGCCCTGAGGAGAAGGACTTGGGGGTGGTGATTGATGAGAAGCTTGACATGAGCCGGCTTCAGTGTGCGCTTGAGCCCAGAAACCAACCGTATCCTGGGCTGTATCAAAAGCAGTGTGACCAGGAGGTCGAAGGAGGTGATCCTGCCCCTCTACTCTGCTCTCGTGAGACCTCACTTGGAGTATGGTGTCCAGTTCTGGTGTCCTCAACATAAAAAGGACATGGAGCTGTTGGAGCAAGTCCAGAGGAGGCCACGAGGATGATAAGAGGACTGGAGCACCTCCCGTATGGAGACAGGCTTAAAAAGTTGGGGCTGTTCAACCTGGAGAAGAGAAGCTGCGTGGAGACCTCAGAGCAGCTTCCAGTGTCTGAAGGGGGCCTATAAGGATTTTGGGGAGGGATTCTTCATTAGGGACTGTAGTGGAATCAGGTAGATATAAGTACTGGAAGCATTAGGAACACTTGGAGAGTGTTTCTAAAACTACAGCAAGTCATGATTCATGTTGTGCCATCCACGGAAAGTCAAGTCTCAGTTTCCAGAGGCGTTGGCTTTTCCTGCAAAACCAAGACAAAACAATAGCCTAGCAGAGTACCAGAGCCTCTGGGTACAGACCTCTCTGCAGGGCCCCTGCTCAGCCCTGAACTGGCTTGGTATAAATCCCAGTAAGTGTCTCCTAATATTCTGGGAGCCCAGAGCATTTGTTTTCCTGTTCCCACCTATTCCCTATGGCATTCAGTACCTTCTTACTTGACTGTGGAGAAACAAACCAAAACCACAACCTGGAACCCCTGTATCTTCACAAAAGAGAAAAACATGCCTTACCTTGTATGGTAAAGTATCCTCTGGTCATATTATTTTCCATAAGCAATTGCCTATTCATTTAGAAGATCTAGATTAGATACGAGGAAAAAATTCACTATGATAGTGTCGAGGTACTGGCACAGGGTGCCCAGAGAAGCTGTGGCTGCCCCATCCCTGGCAGTATTCAAGGCCAGGTTGGACACAGGGGCTTGAAGAAACCTGCTCTAGTGGAAGGTTGGAACTGGATGAGCTTTAAGGTCCCTTCCAACACAAACCAGTCTGGCATTCTATGATTTGTGCACACACGTGCAAAGGCACAGATGCATGCAGGCTCGGGTAAGAAATACACCATTTCAGGATTAACTTTGCTTAGCTTAAATTAGAACAGCCTGTACTATATGATCTTCTGTAATAACAAACAGCCTGTTGTGCTGGTGCATGTGGATTCCTATTTCATGCCTGTCCATGTGAACGAATTAGAGCAAGATTTTCAAAAGCAATCAGTGGTTTATTTCAGATGCCCAAATCTCCAGCCTGCATCTCTCCAATCCTGAAACAAGCCTGATTTTCCTGAAAACTGAGTCCATCTCTCAAAACCACAGCTCTGTAGTATGTCATATACAAGCTCCAGAAAAAACTGAGACTGTCTAGAGGTACGTATAATTGTTTCAGTTACTGCTTTCAAATGACAGTTTTCTGCTCTGTCAGAGCTGGGTTGAGCATCTGAAGAGCTGCAATACAGCAAAGCTACCCACCAACACCTCCTCTGCCCTGTAGTCTGCCCTCAGAAGGACAAATTTGAATATGTCCTCTCTCACAGAGCAATTATTCACCTGCTGTTGTGGCTTAATTTGAGTGAAAGAGGAAAATCATCCATAAGGGAAGAACAAAAATTAAGTCTATGGTCTGCAGCTTTCTGACAAGGCTGCAACTCCACAGTCAGAGCAGATCATGATCTCATGGGTCATGGGTTGGTCTGTGTCCAAATAGATTTTGCTGAGAAACAAGAGGAAAAGTGGGTGAGAGAAGTAGAGAGAACTCAGGGTGAGCAATGGGAAAAGGACAAGGTGTTGATGTAATTCCCTCCAAGCAGTGGAGAGCTGAAAATACTCCAGAGAAACAGGCAGTAATAGATATCTACTCACCCCTTCCCAACACAAGAGGTTAGAGGAGCTCTGTGAATCTTCAGCCCAACTCTTGCAGTGGAAAAGTGAGAAAAGAGCCTAAGAGACAGA